TGTAAATCAGCAATCTACGTTTCCACCTTAAGAAACTAGAAAAAGAGCAAAGTGAACGCAAAACAAGCCAAAGGGACAAATGACAAGATAAAAGCGGAAATCAATGAGATTGAAAGGAAAAAGCAAGGCAACAATTAATGAAACTAAAAGATTGTTCTTTGAAAAGATCAACAAAACTGAAAAACTAGCAAAATTGACAAAGAAAAAAACAGAAAAGATACAACTTACCAGTATCAGGAATGAATGAAGGGACATCACTGCCGGCCTCACAGACGTCACCACGGAAAACTCGACACGTACAAATCAGACCATGTAGATAAGTAAAGCAATGTCTGAGCGCCACAAACCAGGAAAATCCTCCTAGAAACAAACTGAACAGCCCCTTGACGTCGACTAAAAGTGACGCACACCACAGCGACGAACCACGTCCTTGTTGCATACGTCCTCAAAAACACTACACAAATAAGGCCGTATTGGGATTAGAAGCCCGTTTTCATTACCTGCGCCGGTCCCTGTTCTGTTTCTACTTGGCTAACATTTAGACTTGGCTAACACGTTGTTGAGATTTTTCTGTTGAATGCTCATCAAGGCGAGGAAGGCTATAGTCCCATTCGTGGAGTTGCGCTCTGTGGCTTATGGAGTATACCAACAAAATGCTACATACGTGACAATTCTGCGTCAGGCGAGGACACAACTGAGACATTAATACTCAACAGTATTGTGCGTAAGTTTCCCTCTCTGATTCCCGTCTTCCATAAATTTGTGTAGAATTTAGTTCAGCAGCTAAATTTTTTGTCGTTATAAACTAAATTTCTATGAAAGGGTCCACTGACACCTGAGATTCAACCATAATCGAAAAAAGAATAATGTGTACTATTATTCACACGACCAGGTAACCATGACATGTGCTCACTGGCACGGTCATCCCAGCAATTGGGAGCCGAGGCGGGTGAATCATCTGAGTCAGGGCTGACTAAAGACCGAGACTCACTAGTGACTAACATTGGATTGAAGTCCCATTCACACAACATAGGAACCTAGTATATCTCATTCATATTAAAAATAAGAAGGAAAACAACACATAGGATAAACACAGCTATGGGATTGGCGTCCACTATTGTACAAAAATCAAACAACAATTTGGGAAGCGCCACTGTAAATCGGCCAAACAACTAGAAGCTCAGGAGAGGGGCTAAGGCAGGCAGAGTGAGAGAAATAGCTTGAACGCTTAAGCAGGGTGTGAAAGTAATTTGTACCAAAAATCTTAGAAGGAGGAGAGGAATGAGTAACGGGACCACATAATCTCATGAGTGAGCCTGGAGATCTCCACAAGTCATGCTCAATATGCACCGCAATAGGTCAACTCAATAACGTTAAGTGTATACTTTAGAAACTTAAATAAGTAATTGATTTGTAAACTCAAAACAAATGGCCAGCTCGCAGCAGGGGCACGTACCAGAGCGCACATTTTTAAAACAACATCATCAGCTCATACGACAGTAAAATCAAACAAACATTTCTTAATCCAATACCCATCCATAATGCATCATTTCAGATAATTGAGCCATAGCATATTATTAAATACTCAGATTCACCTGTCTTCGCTT